GGACGAAACGGCCGTTCAGTGCTTCCAGGTTTCTAATGGTATGGTCTAACAATGATTGATTGATGATTTCAAATGTATCAATCTATTTTATCTTAAAAATTGATCGATATCATTCTATGTGAAATCGCCGGATTGATTGCGGTTTCTTTTTATTAAAAAAAACTATTTCTAAATGTAACAAAGTTTTTATAATTTGTGATACACCATCAGATGACAAATACAACTTTTCATTGGATATTTTTAAATCTTTGAAACGCATATTAAGTAATAAATTTGACCAGTGTTAGATCACCATAAAAAAATGAAAGCACCGAACTATCTATCGTCAAGTCCTAGTATGGGACTCATCAGTGGTAGTGTGCATCCAAGACTCTCGCACACAGAAACCCAACCCAGGAGATTTAGTCTCACGCGCTATCGCTTAACCTATAGCCACTGAGTTGGCGCCCAACGGTGTTAATGCGTAGCGTTGTCTTCGGTAGTTATTTGATCTTATTTGTGAAACCAAGTGAAATAGGCTCACTGAACTTTGACTAACGGAATAGATTTTTTTTAAACAGAGGATAAACTAACCCAATTTGATTAATATCCTTTATTTCGTCTCATTAAGATCATTTGCTTTTGATCCTATTTCATCTTATTGTTTGGTCATTTTAAACTGGAGAAATTTATATTTCTCATTATCTCATTATATTTAAGATGTTTCATAGAGACCAGTTGGTATATGTCAATGGAATTAAAGATTATTTGGTATGGCTTTTAATTACACTGAAATCCAAAAACTACTGAACAGCTGTTCCGTCTTATCATGGGAATCTTCAACAGTGTCCATTTTAGACCAACTGCCTTGAAGTCCTTGGAGTTAGTACTTAAAATCTCAGTCTACTGAGTTGTAATCTAATGGTTCACATTTCCAACTCGAGTTATTTTATGATATTGTGAAACGATTAACTATTATTCATTGGTTATGATTCTCTTACGTCTAGAACGTCTTGAAATCATCTGAAACTAGATACTTAGTGAGCGCACGACTGAATGCAGATGGGTATTCTAAATGTTAAAGAGATCCATACAAATTAGGACCAAATGATTTTCTGAAATACTTAAATTGATGTCGATCCTTAGTGAATGCATAAATTAGGAGCCTGACATTTTAATGATTAAACAATATAGAGACAAATTTTTTCGGCTTCTTTAATCATATCAAGCAATATATTCATCGATCGGTAAACAAAATAAGTGTTCTTAACTTGGTAAAAACACATTTTGTTTAAACAAGTGACGTTTTATATCACAAGTCACATCAGTTTATATTACCTAACTGAATGAATATAACTTAAATAGGGTTCTCCTAGTAACGAGAGCTCGCTACTCAACCAAGTATCAAACTTAGAACCTTCTGGTTTAGTGGCGGTAGTACCATCTTAAGAAGCAAACAATGCTTATGAAAATTCGCTTAATGAGCTTAGAGTGTTGGTCGTTAATTGGCACAATAATAATTCAAAGATTGTGAGCTTCTTCATGACCTTGATAGTCGTTGATTTGTTTTCTGACGTTTACTGTTCAGAAGTCACAAAACTACAATGGCAAACTGGCTAGGATTACTTGATTTTCAGCTGTTGTCTTGTTGATATAAACTATGCTCTAAGTGACATTCATTATACAGTTATGCAAAATATTGAATTCCATTGAAATCATGAATCGATCAATGTTAAGCCATCGTTAGATACATGAAAGCCTTAGACGGCATTTTCTTCTTAGTTTGGGACTCATCAGCAGTGAACATCCATGACCCCTCAAGACGAATGAGCTGGAATCTAACAGTTTCACTGTCTAATTTTAATCAATCACTGATATCACATCACCTCACCCATTGTCATTGGTAGATTACTGCCTATACTCGACAGGGTTGAACTCCACTGGTCTCGACTTCTCACCAGAACTGTGAGAATTTCCACACGAAGCTATTGATTAATGCGTACATCATATCATTTCACTGAAACTCAACAATATCCACAACCCTATAATGAAACACTTAAAAAGTGTACATCGCCTTAACTACACATGTGATGATATACACTGCTAATGAGTTTCATACTAAAACAAGACAGCTATGCAGTGCTTTCATAATATTTATTGGTGAAATTACTGGAAAAAAAATAAAACTATTTCTTATTTTAAACTGTATCTCATTATTGATCTCATCGAGAAAAACGATACATTTTTTGTTGTTGTTGTTGTAGGTCGTAATACACTGTTTTTTTAAAAACTTGCCTTACATAATTAAGTAGTTAGTACCTAATCCTGCTGATGCATATCTCCTCTATATGCAAACTTAAGTGGTTTTGTTTCTTTTAGCAAAAACAAAATCATTACATAAATAATTACTTACATAAGGCATAGCATTACACACTAGCACTCATACTCACACTGTCTTCCTCTCTCTCTCTGGCTCACTCGCTCACTATCTCACTCTCACTTTACAAGAAAAGTAAATATTCTGTTCTGTTCTGTTGTGTTTTGTTATGTTTTGAATAAGTGGTTAGTTAAATATCATAATTCGATTAGAATAAATATTGTTTACCTAGAAGAAAAAAATAATCTATGATGATTATTTTTAGTAATGTAATATCATTTTTCATGATAAACGTTATGGAGACTATGGAATTTTTTAATGAATCGAGACCATCCATCATTAGAAATGTGGAATCACTGAATGGCTTTCAAATCCCTGGAATATGGGACTCATCTATGAATCTCGTTCGATTCATAATTCCAATGATATCATGTACTCACTAGAGATTAGCTTTGTGAGTAAATTTTCGAAGTTGTAAAGAGAAATCGTGACCAGTGGAGTTCATCCCTGTAGAGTATTGGCAGGTATCCACCGGAAACAACGGATGAAGTCAAAGTCAGACCATAACACCGTTGGATGCCACCGACTCAGTGGTCTAGAGGTTAAATATTCCTGTGTAAGACCTAGAGTACTGGGTTTGATTACCTTGTGTAAGGATCTTGACTGCGTACTGACACTGATGAGTCCCTTATCTGGACGAAACGGATGTCCAGTGTGCTTTTATGTTTCTAACGGTGGTCTAACCTGTGATGCTCGTCAACTGATATGCTTGAACTATTACGAGTTCATCCTAGTCGGTAAACGAGAGCTAAGACAAATGATCTATTGACACGATGGGCTACTCTAATCCGAGTGTCCCAAGCCCCCACTAACGATTTCAAAATGTCTTGATATGGCATAGAAAGCACCCAGAAAATATGAGCTTTTGTATAAAACAAGAAGAAGAGGAGCATAAAACTTTACAGACAATGCACATTTATATAGTTAGGTCGACTGTGAATACTAACCAATAGGAAACAACATTTAAAAGTATGTGAACTTGATAGTTTAGGATGACCTTAAATATCGACCAATAGGGATCGACCAATCGAATTAGACTTACAAAATAATTTCTTTACGATATTTGATAATATATCCTAACAAAACCTTGATCAATTCATGATTTCAATAATTTTATCCAAACAGTCTCATGGATAATGTTTATTCAGAATGGTATAGAAGGACTGTTAAGACAAAACAGAAAAGTAAACATAAGCTAGATTAATAACACAAAAATGATCCTTTAATAATATTAGTAATAATAATAATAATAATCCCAGTCATTCAAATAGTTGTATGCCTTATTTACTTAGATATATAACGTATTGTCAACATTGATCACGTACTTACCTCTTGATATTTAAAGCGTTTTATTGTTTTAAAAGTTGTTTATTCTTCCTTTTCCTATTGACCAGTTCCTAGAGGATGTGAAAATTTAATAACTTTGAAATCATGAATTGATCATTGTTAGACCACCATTAGGAAACACGGAAGCACATGAAGGTCGTCAAGCCCTAGTATGCGACTCATCAGCAGTGTGCATCCACCAACACCCAACACCCAGGCTCGAACTCAGGACCTTCGGTCGTACGCTTCGACGCCCAACTTCTATACCACTGACATCCGACAGTATCAAATGTCTAACTTCGATCAATCAAATGTATTGGGTTCGATTTTGGACAGTGAGAGTTTTGGATAAGCACTGCTGATGAGTTCCATACAAAGACGAAACGGCCATTGAATGCTTATTGCAGTTTTAATGATAATCAAACAATGGTTGCTTAATGATTTCAATAAAAATAAATGTCAAGTGTTTTTTTCCCTTTCATCATACCAAAACATTACTTCTGCAAAGCTGACATTTTCACTGGTATTTTGATTTGTAAACATTATTCATTTTCGCACTGAATATCATCGACACTTACATCAGATACAAGTTCACTTTGGTAATTATTTCATAAGCATCAAATCAGTTCATTGTCATGATAAAGCAGACGTCATGCGCAAACTGACTAATATCAACTGAAAAAACCGCTTAAATGTATTGATCAGTAAAGAGAGACAGCCGTTTTCGATGGAGGACTAGTAATGTTTAACAACATCTTACCGAGTAGTAGAAACTCATATTTTAAGGGAGACATATCATAACTCACATATTATTGACCTTCGAGTATTCAGGATTCATTGTGCGTGTTCTTGAGTGGTGGAGGATGTGTATTATTTGTAATGGAGTTTCGTTCTCTGAGTTGGATGTTTCGGTTATGAAGCCTTTAATTGTTCTTTTGAACAACATCATCGTTAGCACAAACTTCAAGTAGGGATGTGAACGATTCGAATTTCTCCATGTATGACTCGTAGCTTTTCCTGTCGACCTCGATCTTGATTTGAATAGTGGAGAAAATGTGTAGCTCAGTTGGAGGATTGTGGTGCAGTGTCCTACCATCATGAGATATTCATCAGCTGTTATTTATTAAATCACTTCATTTCACTCCACAATTCTAATCATTCCAGCAAAAATTTGCTGAGATGTTGGCGCGCCAAATTTATATACTTTTAAATTAAAAAAATTTTATACTAAAATATGATTTTGTTTAATTTTAGAAACATGTTCAACGAAAAAATTCATGATCAAAATAATGATAATAGTGATATTGATATCAATGATTCAAATTCTTCAGATCGATTGATTAAAGCTAAAATCAACTGGGCGGTATGCATACAAATATATATATATTCCATTTTTGTAATTTGTATTAGGAAATATTATTTCCGAAAAAATGATCATTGATAAACTAGGATTAAAAGTGCGAGTCATTCAGTTAGTCATTAACAACAACATAGAACTTTGTACATACGTACATCAGTTCAAGTTGCCATACCACATTAGCACAGAAATGCAATTGTCAATTCAAACTCCATTGTAGTAGAGGTAGTACAAGTATTAGCAGTTATTGGAGAGATTAGGTTTCGACGATATTATTCAAGAAGTATAGCTCAGGGAAATAAATTAAAAAGAGAAAGATGAAGGTCATGAGGAACTCCGACTAGAGTTTGCGAGAACACAAAGAATGAATACATCTGCGTCATTGCAAACTGTTTTTAGCCATGTCAATCAAGGTCTTCAACTATCGATTACTACCATCTCGTGGGCACCAACTAGGTAGTCGACACCTACCAACATGACTCACTCCACAAGTCAGTGACTTGATGGATTTGTGTCATGTTTTGGTTTGGCCGCCCCTAGGTTTCTTCCAACCTATTCCTACATTTTAAAGTATAGCTCGACGAGGCAGTCGGTGGTTAGGCATACGTAACACATGTCTCAGCTATTTCAACTCGTGAAGTTTCAACACTTTATTTATTGATCTGCCGCCCTTACCTAGGACCCATTTCCTTACTTAGTTATCCCAGGATACACGAGTGTAATGAACAAAGACTACATGAGACAGATTACAAACAAAATGTGCACGTATTCATTATAGAGCTACAGAGATTGTTATTTTTCTATTGAAATCATCAATCAGTCAATCATTGTTAGACCACCATTAGAAACCTGGAAGCACTGGGACGGCGCATCAGCAGCAGTCCACCTTATCTTCTTCATCTGAAGATAATGATCATGCTATACTTTTGGATCCGATATTCTTCCTTTCCGTTCATACTACTTATTAGGCACATTGTGAGTAGCATCCACCACATAATTAATCGATTTTCGGGAAAAAAAGGAATGTCAGTTAAAACTATTGTTATTGTTGTTCTTATCATTATCGGAATGTTCTTGTATGTTTTATAATTAAAAAACGCAAGTTCTACAGAATCTTCAACTATCAAATACGATAGAAAGAAGCTTAGAAACATGTATTCATTTATGATGAGTAGTCCCATACCAGGATAAAACGACCACCCATTGCCTCCAGGTTTGTACTGATAGTCTAACAATGATTCATTCATGATTCCAAAGTAAAACAACCATCTCCGTAATACTCTAAACTAAAAATCTTTCTTTCCAGTTGAGAACTTTCCATGAGTATAAAGTCATTTAATTTTCTCAGATAAGAGCGATTCAAAGACATTTTATATTCTGTCTGGAAGTATGTAGGAAATCAATGGTCCACTTTTTAAACTTTGTATTTCTCCCAATTTCTAATTCTCCATGGTTTTTATTGTTCCCCACTGAACGTCATTCCCTGATGTGTGTTCTCTTTTATTGAAATCATACAGTTTCGGGGCACAGTTTTGGAGGTTTGCGTTTTTACACATTTGAAATCATCAATCAATCATTGTTAGACCACCATTAGAAACCTGGAAGCACTGGATAGTCGTTTTGTCCTGGTATGGGACCACTCATCATGAATGAATATTTGATAGTTGAAGATTCTGTAGAACCTATGTTTTTTTAATTATAAAACATGACAGAAAATTCCGATAATGATAAGAACAACAATAATAATAGTTTTAACTGACATTCCTATTTTTCCGAAATCGATTATTTGTGTGGTGGATGCTACTCACAATGTGCCTAATAAGTGGTATGAACGGGAAGGAAGAATATCGGATCCAAAAGTATAGCATGATCATTATCTTCAGACGAAGAAGATAAGGTGAACTGCTGCTGATGCGTCGTCCCATACAAGGACCATACGGCCGTCCAGTGCTTCCAGGTTTCTAATGGTGGACTAACATGATTGACTGATTGATGATTTCAGCAGAAAAATAACAATCTCTGTATCTCTTAAATGAATACGTGCACATTTTGTTTGTAATCTGTCTCATGTAGTCTTTGTTCATTACACTCGTGTATCTTGGGATAACTAAGTAAGGAAATTGGTCCTAGGTAAGGGCGGCAGATCAATAGATAAAGTATTGAAACTTCACGAGTTGAGATGACTGAGACATGTGTTACATATGCCTAACCACCGACTGCCTCGTCGAGCTATACTTTTAGATGTAGGAATAGGTTGGAAGAAACCTATGGGCGGGCAAACCAAAACATGACACAAATCCATCAAGTCACTGACTTGTGGAGTGAGTCATGTTGGTAGGTTTGGGGCCCGTAGATGATGGCTCAGAACCGTTTGCCGTGGTGCAGGTGCATACATTCATTGTACTCGCTCAAATCCTAACCTTCAGAGTTCCTTGTCACCTTTATCTTTACCACCATGCGAAACCTGGAAGCACTGAATGGGTCTCGCCCTGGTATGGGACTCATCAGCAGTATTCATCCACGACTCCTGCTCCTCGCAGGATTGACTGATGATTTCAAATGTGTAAAAACACAAAACCTCCACAACTCTGCCCCGAAATATCGTAACAGTGCTCACTAGTGACTAGCTTCGAAAGGAAATTCTCGGAGTTCTAGCTGAGAAGACATGACCAATGGAGTTCAACCCTGGCGGGTGTAGGCAGTAACTACCAAAGACAAATGGGTGAGGTCGCGCAAACATCCGTAGATCAATCAGAGTTATACATTAACACCGTTGGAGGCCGGCCCAGTGGTACTGAGAAGATTGATGCAGGCTCGGTAAAATGTAGTATGCCAATTTACAGTCCTAGTCAATTAAAAACGAAAACATTACATTGACCAATCTATTTGCACACCATCTTTGAGTCCTGACTTCCAACGCTCCAGCCTTCTTCCATTCCTGCTGTTGCTACCTTTACTTCCTGTCGGTACTCTATTTATTTCTTGCTTTTGCTCCATTTGCTTTCCGTTTTCCTCTAGTGACCGTGAGAGTTCTTCTTTCACGTCCATTCTTATACTACTTATATCGTTCGTATAAGTAGCACTCACCACAGTCCGATGGTATGGCGTTCGCCTACAATGCCGGAGGTCCCTGGTTCGAATCCTGTGAGGTGCAGGAGTCGTGGACGCTCACTGATGATGAGTCCCATACTAGGACGAAACGGCCGTCCAGTGCTTCCAGGTTTCTAATGGTGGTCTAACAATCATTGATTGGTGATTTCAAATGTGTAAAAACGTCAGTTGTTACAATTTTAAAGGAAATTAGCATAGATAATATTACTGCACTGACAGTTAGATTTGATTGATATTTTGACAGTAAGGTGTTTTTTCACCAAGTACTTTGCAACGAATCAAATTTGAGCTATGATATGGCAACCTCAACTGATGTACTTATGTACGAAGTTCTGCGTTGTATCTGTCTGTCTGTCTAGCTAGCTATTTAATGACGCTGACAGTAGCTGTGTGATAGTTCTCAGATTGAATTTTAATTCTTCCCGGATTGAATCTACCAATTCTAAACAACAGTTTAGGATATTGTTTTGAAAAAAAACCTAGTCATTAACCGAACACAGCTATCTGACATCACTCACACATAGGGAGTAGTAGGTTCATATGTCAAAATTATTACTCTAATCGCTAAACTGGTCATAAAATCAATCAAAATTTAATTTCAGAACAATAAGCTGTGTGATTGATTGATTGATTCATACGTAAAACAAATACGAGGGCTCAATGTTCAACTTTTCTTAAAATTATTTATTACATTATAGATGACATTATTAATAATCTTTAACAATCAAATTAAATGTTTCAATAAAATGGAATCGGTTATTATTATTTTTTCTCTATATAATATCGAAAGATTGTTTAACTATAGTTTGGTAAAACAAATAAATGAATTGAATTCTACTCTTTAAATAAGTAATATTTCATTAGTTTGATCATTGAACAGTTGACATTTGATACCAACCAAGGTCATGTGATGATGATGATCATAATAATAATAAGTTTAAAAGTAATCATACCGATTTGAGAGGTTACGCAATAAGTTTAGTGATAATAATGATGTCTGAAAACTAGTTTTTTTTAATTTTTAATAAAAGCTAATTGGAAAATTTATGGTGAATCCTTTATTTGTGTACTAATAATATACATTCATTGTTTTCAGTAAGTCATTAATTAACTGAACTGGAAATCACCGTTAGTCAAATTATTGAGCGGTCGTTTTGTCCCAGAATGGGACTCATCAGCTCATCGCATCCACTACTACCCTGTGTGCTAACACTTAACCCCTTAGACCACTGAGCCACTTGCATCCAACGGTGTTAATGTCTAACTTTGATCAGTAATCCAAGGGATGTCGCAACCTTATCCATTTTCTTTAGTGAGTGACTATCTTACACTCGTTACAGCTGAACTCTATTGGCCAAGGCTTTTCACTAGAACTGCAAGAATTTCCTCGCTAAGCTAATTGCTAGTGTGCACAAGATAATTTTCACTATATGGTTGTGAAGATTTTTGAATTTATTACAACTCATCAATCAGTAATTGTTAAACCACCATTAGAAACCTGAAAGCCCTGGATCTCCATTCGTCCTAGTATGGGACTACTTATTGGCAGTGCGTATCCGTGACTCCTGTACCTCTCAGGACCTCTCAAGACCTTCGGTCTTGTGCATGAACAACCAACCTCTGGACCTCTGGGCCGGTGTCTAACAGTGTTAATGCCTAACTCTGACTGATCTTGAAGTTTTGCGCGACCTCACTTATTTGTTTCGAATATTACTGCCTACACCCGACAGGGTTGAACTCCACTGTCGACGTCTTCTCACTAGAACTCCGAGCATTTCCTCAAGAAGCTAGTCGCTAAAGAGCACATTTTACGATTTTTCAATTAGAGTTATAGAGATTAGTATTTTTACACACTGAAATCATCAATCAATCATTGTTAGACCACCATTAAAAACATGTAAACACTAAGTGACTATCAAGTCCTACTGTAGGACTCATTAACAATGTACATCCGCGACTCTCCTAATCCGGAATCCAACTTGGGACCTTCGATGCCACGGGACAACGTTTAACCTCTAGACCACCGCGCTGGCACTCAACTGTGGTAATGTCTCACCTTAAACAATCCAATGTATTGCACAATCTCACCCATTGTTTTTGATTGGTAACTGCCTATATCTGACAAGTTGAGTTCCATTTCGAGAATTTCCTCACAAATCTTGTCTCTAATGAGTTGCATACTAGAACTTGACAACTGTCCAGTGACCATAGATTTCTAATGGTGGCCTAACAATGACTGATTCATCATTTCATTGAAACTCAACATACACATACACATGTATGCTTGAATTTAACTTTACTTTCGATCGAAATAAACTTGATATTTTTTTAAAATCAATCCAATCTTCATGATTGTAGTATGTATGTTATATTTTTGCAATTATTATTAAAGTTCATTCCATTACAGCTGTACTTCTTCTTGTTATACATTTCCTATATTAGAAATCAAAATCCAAAAGACTTACCAATAAAAGATTGATAAAATATTTCGATAAAGTGGTTGGTACGTTGAATAATATGTGTAAGTGAATGTTAAAAAAATTAATCAACTTTCTTTTTTCTTGAAAATTCATGTAGAATTGATGTTCTGTATCTTTAAGGTTTAGTCATTATAGAAAAGTTTGACTAACATGATAAATGTATTGTGTAGTTGTAGCGATTGTTGGTCTGCTTTATTGAAATCATTGAATCGATCCATGTTAGACCATCATTAGAAATCTGGTAGCACTGGATTGCTATTTCGTCGTAGTATGGGACTCATCAGCAGTGCGGATCCACTTAATAGTCTTCATAACCACATAATACTAGTTCCGTGAGGAAGTTTCCTTGATTTCTGGTGAGAAGGCTTGAACAGTGGTGTTCACCCCTGTTCGGGTGTGAAGCAGTGCTCACTGAAGACAGTGGATGAAGTAACATAATATATTTATATCTACACACAGAATATTCGAAGTGCCAGCTTCGAAGCCGATATCTAAACTCTTCTAACCTTCAACACTTGAACTCGAAACAAAATAATTTTTAGCTAGAAGTGATTTTTTTAATCACTTAGTCTTCTAAGAAAATTTTTATAACTCAGCTTAAGCAGAGAGAGGTGAACATAAGACTAAGTAAATAGTTGTATTGATGGAGACTGAAGAAAATTTCTAAAAATTCATGTGACATTTTTAAGTGATCGGATAGACCGAAACAGAGGTTTATACCAGATAATATGGTCTACATCGATATTTAATTTACTCATCATAACTCTGTTATATTGGAATAACTATGATTTGTATTACCCAACACAAACTAAAATCATTTTTGAAGTTACTGTCGGTATTTAACATAATTCAGTCAGTCAGTTAGCTACAAGATAAGACTTCGGACATACATATATCATTTCAAGCTTCCATAACACATTAGCACAAAGATGCGATTGTCAGTTCAAATGCCATAGTAGTAGAGGTAGTAGAAGTATTAGCAGAAGTCGGAGAGATTAGGGTTTGAAGGTATTATTCAAGAAGTAGAATTTAGCGAAATAAACTTAAAAAGAGGTGATGAGAAACTCTGAAGGTTAGGTTTTGATAGAAAACAAGGAATGAATTCCCCTACGCAATCGCGAACGGTTTTGAGCCATGTCATTCAGGGTTTTTAACCACCGGTTACCATCACCTCGTGGACCCCAACCAGGTAGTCGACACTTATCAACATGGCTCAGTCTAGTTGTCAGGTACTTCATGGATTTATACCATGTTCACTCTGGCAGCCTCTCGGTCTCTTCCAACATACTCCTACACCACAAAACATTGCTCGTCTAGGCAGTCTGTGGTTGGTCATTCATAGCACATGTCTCAGCCACCTCAACTCGCGAAATTTCAATACTTCATCTATTGATCAGCCATCCTTACCTAGTACTAGATTCCTAAGAACGGAATTGCTTACTCGTTTGTTCCAAGATATGCGAGCAATACTTTCGAAGCATATGTGATCGAAAATCATTAACCTGTGAATGTTCTCTACTCTTATCGGCCATATTTGACAGCTATATAGTATGACGGAGTGAACTGGTACGCAGTACACTCGTCCTTTATTCAGCAAACGAATATCTGCACCATAAATGAAGCAAGTTGGAAAAAGCCACTCGAGACCTCTGTATCCGTCCTGAGATTTTGTAAGACATCAGACCATCAGCACTGATGAGACTCTCGAGATAAGTGAGGCAGTCAACAAGCTCAACTACCTCACTCCATATCAACAGTTCAGGTGCCTATGCAGACCCTTACTGAAGCATCATATTGTATTTCGGAGGAGGAGGGCTAATAGCAGAAAGTTAAAATTAACTTAGTCTGCTATTTTGTATGTGACCAAGTCCTATCAATCCAGTTCCAACTTTGAAACTACCAACTTAGAGTAATTCAAACTTTTGGTTACTAGAAATCAATCGATAAAATGTTTTGGAACTGGATTTCATTAAATTTAAATATAAACGAGACTTTACAGAAATAAGTGTGCTCAAAGATTCATCAATAAGGGTACAGAAATTTTTCATCTGAAGAAATGCTTTTAACTATTATGAATGTCCCTGAAGAAATTCAATTTATACACATAAATATACAATTTCATATTGTATGTTTCAAGTAATGTAGAAGTTAACTACTACTAGTCAATAGGAATCTTCGATGATAACATTCTTGAACTCTATTTTAAGTCACTGTAGTTTGAATTTGTTTTATGGACTCTTAGTTTTCGATAAATATTTCGGATAGACTTCGCTGATGAATTATCAACCAATTATGAATTTGATATCAAGGTCATTTGAGTAGTAATTTATCTTCCAAGTGTTAAACTATCCGAACTGTAAATCAATGTACAAACTATCTGATTGACTGATTTTCTTTTCGTTCAAACCTTTATAGCGGATGTGAAGAAAAAGTTTGAAGAAATAAACCTTCTACAGAATGAAGAAAGTTCTTATAATCCAGTCAGTGAAAATCACTATGATAATGATGATGATTATGCTGATGATGGAATTATCAAAACTAAATTTAACTTTAATGTTTTTACTACTCACAGTAATAATAGTAGTAGTTTTAATGGTTTTACTGGAAATAAAAGTTATGCTGACGATGATGATGATGATGATGATGACAGTAGCGACGAGGATGAGGATATGTATCAAAATGATACTGAGAATCACACTACAAATAACCATTGTCAACATCAAAATCAAAATAATCATCAGAAAAATGAAAATATTCAATCGAATGAAGATGTTCAACATTCATCAAGTAGTTTCACTGGTCAATCGAGTAGTTTTTCTCGTTTGAATACATCATCACCAATGTCATACGGTGATGAATTGAATTCCATGCCTGTAACCAGTTCAATAGATGATTTACTTAGTTTAGATCAATATGATCAAGATGAAAGTGTGTCGAAAGATTTCTCACCACAAAATCAATATTCAATAGTCGATAGAAAAATCAATTCAAACTTGCAAAGATGGTTATCACAATCGGAGTTGTTGAGATCTAATATGCGAATGAAAGTGAGTAATTTTTTTTCCTCTGTCTCCTTTTGATTGACTCGTAAAAAATAATAATCTATGCTAGAAACCTTGGAGCAGACGGAAATTATTTTATTTTACTGTAGGCCTCCACAGTATTGGACTTTCTGAATTTCTCATTGAAATAATCAGGCTTTTTCATTGGTAAATAACTGAGTTACGATCAATATAAAATTACAATGGACCAATCAATGAACGATGTGACTTTATTTGACCTTGATGATGACATAACAAAATTACAGTGGCATACTGATTACTACTCAAATTATTCATACAGTGAAATTCTTTATTTTCTTCGCACATTACTTTCTGCAGCATTTTCCACGTGATGGTTATTTCTGGTCAGTTGCATTATTGATCAAACTTGGTGTTAAATTAGTATCTTCTAGTCATAAAGGTAAATGATTTGATTATATCATTTAGTATATATTAAAGTATATATATATCTAAATTTTTACAGTGACTAAAGGAGATTATTGGTATTATTCATGATGGAATTCACCACTCCATATCAATTTCATTGACTAAGAGAAAGTATTCAATAGAATGGACAGGACGACACTATGGAGGCTTCTCCGATACTACAGCGTGCCTGGGAATGTAGTCAACATCATACGGAACTCTTAAAATGGATTAAACTGCAAAATCGTTCATGGAAAGCAGCTCACAAACTCATTCCAAATGAAGACCAGTGTAAGACAAGGTTGCTTACTCTCACCGTTTCTCTTTCTCCTGGTGATAGACTAGATTATGAGGTCGTCAGCATCTGCAAGGAAGCACGGTATCCAATGGATAGCCAGGATGCAGATGGACGATCTGGATTTCGCAGATGATCTGGCTCTTCTGTCGCACACGCAACAGCAAATGCAAGAAAAGATAACGAGTGTAGCGGCAGCAGGTCTCAACATGCATTAGGGAAAAGCAAGGTTCTACGATGCAACACAACATGCGCCAACTATATCACTCTCGGTGGAGATGCCTTGAAGGACGTTAACACCTTTACATATCTGGGCAGCATCATCGACAATCAAGGTGGATCCGATGCAGATGTGAGGGCGCGGATCGGCAAAGTAAGGGCTGCATTTCTACAACTGAAAAACATCTGGAACTCCAAAAAGCTATCAACCAACACTGAAGTCACAATATTCAATACAAATGTCAAGACAGTTCTATTGTATGAGGTGGAAACTTGGAAAACTACGAAAGCCATCATCCAGAATACACGAGTATTTATTAACAGTTGTTTACTCAAATTACTTTGGATTCGTTGGTCAGACACTATCAGTAATAACCTACTTTGGGAGAGAACAAGCCAGATTCCAGCGGAGGAGGAAATCAGGAATAAGTGGTGGAAGTGGATAGGACACATATTGAGAAAATCACTGAATTGCGTCACAAGACAAGCCCTCACTTGAAATCCTCAGGACAAACAGAAAAGAGGTTGGCTGAAGAACACGTTACATCGAGAACTGGAAGCAGACATGAAATGGATGAACAACAATTGGACAGAACTAGAAAGGAATCCCAAGGATAGAGTAGGTTGGAGAATGCTGGTCAGCGGCCTATACTTTATTTGGAGGTAACAGGCGAAAGTAAGTAAACAATTCATACTGGAATTATTAGTTACAAAATACTTTGATAATGTTTATTAATTAAACATGTGTGATTATGACATATTCATTGTGAATAGCAATAATTATTTCGATATAGATATATCTGAAAGTTATAGAACTTTTCACAT